GGAGAAATCATTTCACATTGGAGAAAACAAAAAAAGCCATGGTCCATTTCCACAGTGGAATACTATGCAGCTGTACAAAAGGAGGAAATCTTACCGTTTGTGACAGCTTGGGGGGACCTAGAAAGTATTATGTTAAGTGAAATAAGTCAGTCAGGGAAAGACAATCTCAGTGCTATGTGTAACTTAATGGACAAAATAAACTGGTCAACGACGTAGAAACAGAGGCATGGACACATGGGACAGACTGACGGTGGTCAGAGGGGATGAGTTTGCAGAAGACTGGATGAAAGAGGGTGAAGGGATTAGCCAAAAAACATATATTTATAGCCTGTGGACACAGACAATAGTGTGGGGATGGCCAGAGGGAGGTAAAATCTGAGAGAATGGGAGTATCTGCAATAGTGTCCACAATAAAGAAAGAAAAAGAAAAGGCTTATTTTAAGGACAGTGAATAGTGTATTCTCGGCCACCCAGGCAGAAAAACTAATGAATAAACAAACAAAAAACCAGCAGGCGGGGGAGGGGCAGACTCGGTCCCAGCTGACTGATTGGATAAGCAGTTGCTCTGTGGTTAGTGTAAGCAGGTCATTCCCTCTGCTCAGGAAAGAGGATCTGGGGGTCCTGACTTCTGGGTGCTGAGGTGTCATTAACTCCGTGATCCTCCAGGTATGTCTGGTCAAGGGCAGGAGAGGGACGCTGGGCACTGACCCGGCAAACCTTGTTAATATTTCTGTCTGGTCAGGCCGGTGTGGCTCAGTGGTTGAGCATCGACCCTGCACCAAGAGGTCACCGATTCGATTCCAGATCAGGGCACATGCCCAGGTTGTGGACTTGATCCCCAGTGGGGAGCGTGCAGGAGGCGGCCAGGGGATGTTCTCTCTCATCCATGTTTCTCTCTCTCCCGCTACCTTCCTCTCTCTCTAAAATCAATCAATAAATAAAAACATTGGGGGAAAAAAAAGAAAAAGACTTCCTTCTGAATGCACACGTTGAGATAGTTGAACTTCAAGAGCAGATGCATCTCAGCCATGCTGTTCCATGGATAGACTGCCCTGACTGCGGACCAGAGAGTGCCGGGTTCGGTTCCCACTAGGGGCACGCACCACAAAACAAAATAAAACTAAAAATAAAAGACTGCACACTTTGAGTCTGCCATAGGGGCGTCTTGGTGGGCAAGAGTTCTTACACAGATCCATGGTCCTGTTGGGTCTGTAGTATATACACTACACTAGCATGTCTTTGTCGGTCCAAGACCGTAATAGGCAAGCGTTGAGGATGAAGTACACTGTCTTACGTTGGGCGGCTATAACCAAGCACCACAGACTGGGGCCGGGGGGAGGGGTTGGACTAGAGATATTTATTTCTCACGGTTCTGGAGGCTGGGCATTCAAGGTTAAGGCACCGGCATAGTCAGAGTCTGGTGAAAACCTTCTCGCCGTGTCTTTACAAGGTGGAAGCTAAGAAGACGCTCTCTAGGGTCTCGGTTATAAGGCCACTAATCTCATTCATGAGGGACTCAGCCTCATGACTTCATCTAACCCTCATCACCTCCCCGAAGTTCCTGCCTCGGAACACCATCACCTTGGGGTCGGGTGGGGTCAGGCCGCCTTTGAGAGAATGCAATTCAGTCCATTGCGTATCATCAAAATCCTGCATCTGGAAGAGAGAGGCTGTTAAAAATTAAGACTGTTAAAAAGCAGTGGCTGAAAAGCATCCCAAGGTGCAGGCTACGATCCGTCACAGCGCATGGCGTTGGGGTACGAGGCGGGGTCCAGCTTCGTGTCCATGCTGAGGTCCATGTTGCACCTTTGCTCCAAGCCCATGACCCGGTAGCTAGAGACGATCCTAACTAGTTGGCCTTTCTCAACAAGTTCACTCTCTCAGCCTTTCTCAACATTGAGCTGGTGGAACTAGGGGCAAACAGGTGCATTTATTCAACCAACGTGGAATGAGACGCTTCCCTGGTCAAGGACCTTTGTGGGTGCGGCTGGGGATCCACCACCAGCGAAACACAGCTTTTACCTCTGCAGCTGACCCCCAGGAAGCAGGCAGGGCAGGCAGGCCAATGTGACACAAGAATGAAAAACACCAAAATACTGATTTTTTAAAATAGAATTACCCCGCTGTGAATCTGTTAACCCTAGCTGCATGGCTTCTCGTGGACGCTGTGGGCTGTGGCTCTTTGTACACATTTCTCAGCAGAAGTGGACTTCATTCCTCCCTCTAGTCAGGCATTTCATTGAGCACCTACTGTATGCGAAGTTCTGTGTCAGTGTTCAGGCTTCGAAAGGTTAGCATATGATTAGAAAAAGGTAAGTCATCAGCTACAATACAAGTAAAGGGCCACGTGGATTGGGCAGGAATGTCGGGGGACGCGACGCGGTGGAGGGTGAGGAGGACGTTACCAAGCAACATTCGTGCAGGGGCAAAGGATGGACTAAAACAAATACCTCAAGGTGAGAACATGCGTGGGCAGAAGAGGAGGAAGAAGGTGAAGGAGGTGAAGGAGAAAAAAGAGTAGAAGGAGGAGTATGAGGAGGAGGTGGAAGAGGAGGAGGAAGAAGAAGAAGGAGGAGGAGGAGGAGGAGAAGGAGAAGGAGGAGGACAAGAAGGAGGAGGAGAAGGAAGAGGAGAAGGAGGAGGAGCAGGAGAAGAAGAAGAAGGAGAAGGAGAAGAAGGAGGAGAAGAAGGAGGAGAAGAAGAGAAAGAAGGAGGAGGAGGAGAGAAGAAGAAGAGAGGAGAAGAGAGAAAGAAGGAGAAGAAAGGAGGAGGAGAAGGAGGAGGAGGAGAAGGAGGAGGAGAAGAAGGAGGAGGAGGAAAGAAGGAGGAGGAGAAGATGAAGAAGACAAAGAACAAGAAGAACAACAAGAAGAAGAACACGAAGAAGAAGAACAAGAAGAGGAAGAAGAACAAGAAGAAGAACAAGAAGAAGAACAAGAAGAAGAAGAAGAAGAAGGAGGAGGAGAAGGAGGAGAAGGAGAAGGAGGAGGAGAGAAGGAGGAGGAGGAGGAGGAGAAGAAGACGAAGAAGACGAAGACAAAGAACAAGGACAACAACAAGAACAACAACAAGAAGAACACGAAGAAGAACAAGAAGAACAAGAAGAAGAACAAGAACACGAAGAAGAACACGAAGAAGAAGAAGAAGAAGAAGAAGAAGAAGAAGAAGAAGAAGAAGAAGAAGAAGAAAGAGGGAGGGGACCGAGACTGAGGAGGACGAGAAAGAGGAGGAGGAGGAGATGGAGCAGGATGAAGGGAAGGGAGAGATGGACGAGAGGAAAAGGAGGGAGAGGAACAGGAGGACACGGAGGAGGAACTTGCTACCCGATTTTCAAAGCCAAGCTTGTCTACAGACTCATCCCAGGGACCAGCTGGGAAGACACCCGCATGGCACAGGCCACCACAGACAACGTCAGAACATGTTCCGGGCCTGACGGCGCCCTCCGAGCTTTGCTGACCCCCTGGAGGCCGAGCAGAGAAAGAACTGGAGGAGGACGAGGCTGGCAGAAGCCGAGACATACGTACCCACACTGTGGCAGCAAAAAGGGGGGACTCTGGGATCCCACTATTCTCAGGAGCCAGAATCTCCTAGACTGGTGGGCAGTTCCCCTCAAATTCCTCAAGATGAGACATGTGGGGGAGGAAGACTCGGTTTCCCAGTTTAGTTGAGTAGGTGGATGCCCAAGGGGATATTCTGGGACATGTGTTTTTGTTTGGGTTTTAAATATATCAGTGGCTTTGGGCGTTCCAAGAAAGGACACCTAAGCGTACTTCCTGGAGACACATCAGCACAGGTGATTGAACACAAAAGCTGGAGCAGAACAGAAGTGACTTGTTTATGAACAGACACCTATTGGTGGTGGGCACTGGGAATGGCACCCTGGGGAGGGCCAGCGAGGTGACCCCGGACACTCCGCCGCAGAAAGGAAGGCAGTCCTACTCCATGCATCAGAACGGCTCCTGGGGGCTCATTCAGGGCCACGTCTGAAAGCCTGTGGCAGAGTCTCGGGTGGGCAGCGGAGGGGATCAGAACCCCTGCAGTGGACTTTCCTGGATGTGGCTGCTTGGACACCCTTGTTATTCCTCTCCACAGTGGCTTTGTCCTTGAGACCCACGTGGGCCCTGCTGATGACTGTCCCCACCTGACCCCTCCCAACTTCTCTCAGGCTTGATTCCTCCTTGAAGACCCGGGACCTCCTCCTCGTCTCTCCCCTTCTTGGCTCGGAGCGCGCCATCCTCTCCAGCCTCTGTTTCCAAGCCCCTCTCCTCCCCCAGCTCCTGCCATCCGGCTCCCCGGAGCTCCCCGCTCGGCCCACCCCCGCGGGCGCTCCAAGCTGAGCCGAGAAGTCCCACCTTTTTGGCGGGATGCTCTGGCCGCGGGAGGGAAGCCGGCAGCCAGGAGCAACAGGAGAGGCGGGAGGGCGTGGCCGTGGGTCTCACGTTGCAGCCTGGCCGGCAGCTCGGGGGACGCTGGCTGGCGGGGCGCAGCCGGCTCCCGTCTGCACACGGGCTCCGAGGCAACTTCGACCCCCCTGCAGGACTGCAAACCCTGCTCCTTCTCTCTTCCCCCCAAAGAAAGGAAGCGTCTCCAGCGCTGCGGGGAAGCGCTCTGGGTGCACACTGTGCCGCTGGTCCGAGGGCTTGCTCTCCGAGCACGGATAGCCCTTCCCAAAGCCGTGCGCGTTTGGCGCCTGCCCTTCTTCCCGCGGGAGTGGGAGAGGCGCGCCCACCCAGGACCAGGCGCAATGAAGAGGCGAGAGGAGGGCTGAGCGCACCGCCGCGCGGCCAGGGTCCCTTGGCTCGGGCCCTCGCCCCGTCTCCCCGGGGTGGGGCAGGGTGGGGGTGGGCCGAGGCGTGGACTCGAGAAGCCTCCAGGCGACGGGAATAAAAGGGCGCCGGCTCGCCCTGCCGCGTTGGGAAGCTGTGTCACCTCGTCCCGGGCCCGGGACGGGCATGGCTCTGGCGGACCCCCAGCGGTGACTCGCGCGCTCCGGCCCCGTGGATGCGCAGGGCGCATCGTTCCCGTGTGTCACGGCCTCGGAAAGACAGGTGAGGTCTTGGAGCAACCTGGACTCCCGGGGGACCGGGCGGGGGGGACGACGACGCTGTCTCTTTCAGCAAGGGGTGCAGAGAATTGGGGGACAGCCAAGGAAAGACTTGGGGAGGGGGCGTGAAGGCAAAGAGGCATACTGAACTGTTCCTGGCACTATTTTAAGAGCGTGAGGGGCCAGTTGGCGTCCAGGGGAGAGGCTGAGGAACGTGGCCCGAGGGTGCGTTTCGTAGGAACCCGCCCCTTCTCCCTTCCGTCTTCCCTCCCGCCCCCTAGAGACCTCTCAGCCCTCCATCCCTGGTTTTCAGGGAGTCACCAAGGGGATCCCGTCATGAAACCGACTGCGCCCCTGCGTTGGTGGGGGAAGCTCAGCAGCTGGGCCTCCTCCCCAACTCCCCAGGCTCCTGACGCCAAACGTCTCCTCCTCCTATTCTTCCCCCGGAAAGGGGGAGACCCCAGGCCCGCCGTGAGCCGAGCCACGCGGAAGCTGGAGAAGTCATTATCTGAGGCCTTTGGTGTCCGGCTCCCAGGGGACGCGCGGGGCAACCGGCGCGGCGTTCCGGGAAAGGTCGTATTTCCCCGCGCCGCCGCCGGGGCGCGTCCAAGCAGGCGCTGGCAGCTGGCCAGGCTCTCCGGGCTGCGCGCCCGGCCGCTCCAGGTTGCTCGCCCCCGGCGTGTGCAGCGAGCAGCGCCTCGCGCCCCGGGCACAGCTGTCTGAGCTTGGCCAGTGAGCACCCGCGGCCTCGCAGGCTCCGAGCGGTCTCCCTCGAGGTCCCCGTGGCGCAGGCTTTCGGTCCCCGCGGAGGACAGGAAGGCACAGGGACGCGCAGGCCTGGGCCGCCTGCGGACAGAGCGCGCGAGCCGGGATGCCCGTGGCCCAAGTCCAGAGCGCAAGCCCAGCGCGCAGGCGGGGGCGGGAGGCCTGGGCTCAGCCGCGTCAGGAAACCTCTCCGCCGAGCTGAGCGCCGGGTTGCCGAGCGCAGAGGAGGAGCCTCGGCTCGCCTTTTGCAAACTTGTCTGCAGCGTCAGCTCTTTCGCAGCAGCTGGGAGGCGAGCCGAGCTGGGGCTTCGGGGAACACGCCCTGGGGTCAGGCCAAAGGACCGGTGTGCGCGCCTCCAGCCCGGGGGCGCGGGCGCAGACGGACTTGTCAGCGGGGAGCGCTGGCCCAGAGCAGGGGCGGGTGCACACGCGCTGCTCTGTCGCACCTTCTGCTGAGTGAATCACTGCTTCTATGCACACTCCGGTGGGCAGGCGACAAGAACGTCAGAGGGGGAGGCTGTGGCCGAGGCGCAAAAATGCGGTCACTGCCCTGCAAGGGAGGTAGCTGATGCTATTCCCTGTTTATCTCTCTTCTCTTTCTTTCTTTCTTTCTTCTTTCTTTCTTTCTTTCTTTCTTTCTTTCTTTCTTTCTTTCTTTCTTTCTTTCTTTCTTTCTTTCTTTCTTTCTTTCTCTTTCTTTCTTTCTTTCTTCTTTCTTTCTTTCTTTCTTTCTTCTTTCTCTTTATTTCTTCCTTTCTTCCTTCCTCCCTCCCGCCCTTTCTCTCTTTCTCTCTCTCCCTTCCTTCCTTCCTTCCTTCCTTCTTTCTATCTTTCATTCATTCATTCTTTCTTTTTTCTTTCCTCTTTCTCTTTACTTCATCCCTTCCTCCTCTGTCTCTTTCTTCCTACCTTCATTCTTTCCTTCCTTCCTCCCTCCCTTTCTCTTACTTCCTCCCTCCCTCTTCCTTCCTTCCTACTTCCCTCCCTCCCTCCTTCTTCCTTCTTTCCTTCCTTCCTGCGTTTCTTCTTTTTTTCTCTTTTTTCCTTCCTTTCTTCCTCCTTTCCTTCCTTCCTCCTCCTTCCTTCCTTCCTTCCTTCCTTCTTCCTCCCTCCCTTCCTTCCTTCTTCCTTCCTTCCTTCCTTCCTTCCTTCCTTCTCCTTCCTTCTTCCTTCCTTCCTTCCTTCCTTCCTTCCTTCCTTCCTTCCTTCCTTCCTTCCTTCCTTCCTTCCTTCCTTCTCTCTACACTCATCTATTCTTGCTGCTGTCCTTGGCTCGCCCATATTCCATCAGGCAATTCATTCCCTCTGTATCTAATGGTAGTTTTCACAGAGGTTTCCCCAAAGCTTCTCCTTGGGAGAAAAATAAATAAATAAATAACTCCACAAAAAGGACGCTCCATTACCACAACCCTTTGCTTTGGCTCTTCCCAGAAAATAAAAATTCAGGACAACACGTCCACCGACCACAGGATGAATTTCGCCCTGGCCTCTAGGAGCGGTCTGGGAAGATGCCATCAGAACGCGCAGGGAGGCCACTCAAAGGAGCCAATGTTCCTGAGAGTCAAGGCCGTCCTGGGACGGTGTTCATTCAAATACGTTCGGTATATAATGGCTCCGAATGACACTTGAAGGCAGACCCCTGACAATCCGTTTTGATGATTAACTTTATTATTATAGAAACGCCAATCAAGCCGTCAATCTCTCTGTCTCTCCCATACTGTCGATCTCTCCACAGTGAGATTTCCACGCGGAAAGTCGGGAATTAAGATTATGTTCCAAAGCAGGGATTCACACTAACAAAAGGACACTTCGGGCTGGCTTTTTGGCTCAAATAGGTTAAACGTGGTAAACATGCATCCTTCAGAGTCTGAGGACGCTTCTGGCGGTCCTGGGCCCTCCCCACAACACCTGCCGGGCGCCAGGAAAGGCTCCCCGACAATAAGCGCATCTGTGGGTCTTTTCGTGTGTTTCTCCCCCACAGGTGGCCAGGGCCCACGCACCGGGACAAGATGCCACCCTGGGCGCCCTGGCGAGCCCTCTCCGTGGTGCTGATTCTGACCTGGGCACGGCCTCCCGATGCGCTCGCCTGTCCGCACCCGTGCGCCTGCTACGTGCCCACCGAAGTCCACTGCACCTTTCGCTCCTTGGCTTCTGTACCCGCGGGGATTTCCAAACACGTGGAGAGAATCAACCTGGGGTTTGTACCGCTTTCTTCCTGAGCTCGCTCGCCCCCTCGCCTGCGTGTCTACTTCGCGGTCCTTGTCCGTATGTGCGCACCGGCCCACTCTGTCCGGGTTATGCACCCCTGTTTCTGCAATGAGGGGCACCTTTATATGTTTCAACACTGCCCAATACCGGCCCGTGGGCAGTAACGTGCAGTTATCCGTCAGCTCTCGTAGAGTTTAATAACGAAGCATCATGACCAACGTCAACTGTAGACACGTTTCCCGGGACTACAGGGTGTCGGTATCAATGCGCAGGGGGCACACATCTGTGCACGAATGTGAAGTAGATTCAGAAACGCGGAGAGAAGAGTAAAAGCAATAACGCAGACCTCGCTGACCCTTTGTAACGCAGCTGGATAAAGCCAGTGTGTGCCTCTGGGGAAATGCAACAACTCTGTAAGATGTTGCCTGTTTGAAACATCAGTATATGTAGGAGATGTGGTAGCCAAGCATTCCAGATAGAATTTCCACCTTTCAAAATTTTATTTTCTACACCCATCGGTTAGGGGTATTTTGTACATCATCGTTAGTTGCTATGAGTGACAGGAAGTCGCGTACATTTATTTATTTATTTTTTTGGTAAACAATTCTTCTGACTTATTTAACAGAATAGCTGTTTTCGATCACCTAGAAAGCAAGAAAATCAATTCAGGGTTTGATGGCTGTTCACCATTGAGACATCTTAATAAAGTAGAGTCAAACTTGAGTCAACGGACAAAGAATTTACACCTTGGTGCACAGAATTATTTATTTATTTATTTATATATACGCACACATACATATATATTTATATAAACGCACACACATACATATATATTTATATATTTACATATATACACATACATATACATTTATATATTTACATATATATACACATACATATATTTATATATTTACATATATACACATACATATATATTTATATATTTACATATAAGTATATATTTATACATTTGCATATAAGTGTATATTTATATATTTACATATAAGTATATATTTATATATTTGCATATAAGTGTATATTTATATATTTACATATAAGTATATATTTATATATTTGCATATAAGTGTATATTTATTTATTTACATATAAGTATATATTTATATATCAGTATATATATTTATACTGATATATAAATATATATACTTATATAAGTACATATTTATATGTACTTATATATAAATGTACTTCTATAAATATATACTTACATATAAATATATAGTTACTTATATATAAACATATATACTTATATATAAATATCAATAAATACCTATCCTGATGTATTAATATATATAAATGTGTACACATACATTTTACCTTTCTTGACTATGAAGTCCAGAAGTCCACCAACAGAATGGGCAGCTAAGACCAGCACGTTCCCGAACCCCCAGCAGCACCCCACTAAACCGTGTACACGGTACAATCTCGGGCACTGTGACCACGCCCGTCTGATCATCCAGCCTCAGGGCTGACCGCTCTTGGGGGCCACATCTTGCTGCGTCGGAGGAAGGGATAGAAAAAGCCGAATTTCCTTTCTACAGTCTTGTAACTTATCAGGAACCATGTTTAGCATATTATCTCCTGAGATACTTTTGTCTTATTCAAGATCAAAGAAACCAGCGACAGCCAAAGGGTCGCCTCACCGCATCCGCAGGGAGTGGACCCCTTTCCTGGGGCCTCCTGTGCGCCCTGCACCGGGGCCCCATTCCTGCGTCCTGGATGTGATCTCACCGAGCTGTGTTTTGAAAACGAGTCTTGCCGTAGACAGCAAGGCTGCCGTCGTGAATGTGTTGGGTGGAAAAATAGGAACAGCGTGCAATGCAGACACAGCTTGGGGCGCGCTCATCTGTCTTTTCTGGAAAGAACCCCAAACTCTCCAGCACGGAGGAATTATTGGCCAAACCCCAACGACCATTTTTAGCCCCGCAGAGATGTTCTTAGGGTTCCCACTGCGCCGGGAGACCCGGTCCTGCGGTTCCCTCTTTGGACGCCCCGAGACTGTTCCAAAAAGATTCGCTTTCCAAACATGTTTGAGCCAGCACACTAAAATCGGCCACTTAGTATCTCACGGGCAGACCTTTGAGTATCTCCGCCCGTGTTTAAAAGGCCGGGTTTCGATGACGTCTTCCCTGCCTCTGGGTAGCACTTTGTAAATGTTTGTGATAAGAAACAAAACACTCCACTTTCGTGCATTATGGAGGCAGGAACTGTCGATCATATGTGAGAAGGAGACTCTGCCTAGCTTTGCTGTTTTTCTACATTTTCTATTTATTGACTTGAGAGAGAGCGAGAAGCACCCATGTGTTGTCCGTCTTCTGTCTGCATCTGTGGGTTGTGCCTTGTCTGTGCCTTGACTAGGGATCGAACCCGCAACCTTGGCACATCCGGGGGATGCTCTAACCCACTGAGCTACCCGGCCAGGGGCTCCTCTGGTTTTTACATGGATACAAAGAGGATCCATCCACACCCATCGGGTGACATTCAGTCAATTCTCCTGGCTTTTGTCCGTCTGAGAAAAATCTGTCCGTCTGTACCTCCCTCATGGTTCATAGAGCAAGCATGAAGAAGATGGTAGCGGAAGGCAGGTTCCAGGGTGATTCGGCCCTGGCCCTGGACTTTGGGGTGTTACCCAGGTGTGCAGGGGCCTCGCACGGGGGCGTTTCTCTGACCTAAGACACGCTCCTTCTCTTCACCGAGGCCCCCTTGGTGCCCGCGCGTGGGCGGGGAGAACCTTTGGCCACACTGCTGAGCACCACGCCTTCGGGGTGCAGTGTGCTGGGGCAGATGTCTCCCCACTTCCAGTCTCTGTACCTTCCGTGACCTTCGGAGTCTTCTCAGCTCGCCTTGAGTCTGATTCTCATCGCCCTGGTTCGCTGGCCAGTGTCTCCTCGATGTACCCATTTGGGTGTCCGTCTTGGTCCTGCACCCTCACCCTGGGGAGTCCCGACCATCTACAACGTAACCCGGCAAATATTCTTCTAAACGGGGCCTCCCCACCCCCAGCCTGGTTCGTGGCTGCAAATGGTGCGGTTCGTTTATTTGCTCCCTTCTAGGCTGAGGTCATCGCTCCGTCTTTGCCTTATTTGCAATCCCAGTGCTTAGCAGTGCCGGACGGTTCTGCCTTTCTGCCCCCACGGGACATTGTGGGGTCCCTCTGTCTGCCTGGGCGTCCTCCTGGCCGTGCACACCGGCCTCTCTCCCCGGGTCCGCCTGGCTGTCTCATTCGCCTTGTCCGTCTCTGCCCGTCCTCCACGCACCGTCCGGCATTTCCTTAGCGTGTAACTGTCCACACCGGCCCCTTACATCTGTCCGGTGTCATCTGGTTGAACTTGGAACAAAGGAAAGTCACCCCTTCCGTCTGTGGGGTGACCTGGCCCCTGCCCTCCTCACCTCCTCCCCGATATCATTACTTCCTCACTCTTTCCAGACAAACTCAGGCTCTCGAAATGGGCAGGAAAATGGTAAATGTGGCTTTTCACCGTCTCCCCAAGTCCACCGTCCCAGGCAGGTCTCTGCAGACTCCTCAACCATGATCCATCGATGAGCGTCCCCAACACCACCTCGCACTGCATCTCCCCTGCAACTGAAATATACATCTTATAAATCATCGAAAAGAGATTTTTTGTTTGAAAAAAGCCCATGGCTGAAAAGTGCGTCCCGAGGCCGTTCAGGGAAGTAGCGACCCAGCGATGATGTCATCGTCCAGGTCTGGGCTCAGGCACCTGTGTGCGTAGGAGGCGATTGGACCCGGGTAGCATTTGCCGGGTTTCGCGATGAGTTCTCCGTCCGAATTATCTCCCCATCTCTCCTTTTATTTAGGCGACGAGGAGAACAATACAGCGGGGCTAGGTGGGTGCTGTTTCAGCGGGAGCACTGACCCAAGGTACCCGCCCGGTATCAGGCAGGTCCAGACCTCTGCGTTCATTGTCAGGTTCTCCGAGGACTAATGCCGGGGTTACCTCGGCCCGTTACAACGTGACCGCAGTGACTTTCCAGCCGAGGTGGCGTCTCCACTGATGTTTCTGCCAAAATCAACCCCCACAACACCCCCAGAATGTTTGCGGAAAATGCCGACAATCTACCACGGGTGGCCCTTTGTCCTTGTGAAATCCGGGTGCCTGAGTCTGGCTGGAAGTGTAGAAACAGGGTTCCTCAGCAGGGAGGGTTCTCTTATCTGTGCACAGTGACTCACTGACTCTTTCTTTCCATTCTCGGAACCTTCGTGTCATTATTGTTATTGCTGGTGTCCGGTGGGATGTGCAACGAGGGACCATTCTACTGGCTTCTTGTTTTGTTTTGTTTTTTCTTTATTGATTTTAGAGAGAGAGGAAGGGAGAGGGAGAGACACAGAAACATGGATGAGAGAGAACATGGACGGGCCGCCTCCTGCACGCCCCCCACTGGGGATGGGCCCACCACCTGGGCATGTGTCCTGACCCGGAATCGAACCAGCGACCTCTTGGCGCAGGGTCAACGCTCAGCCACTGAGCCACACCTGCCGGGCTCAACTGGCTTCTTTGAAAACTCAAAATGCTATGCGTCTCCCGCTTCAGCTCCGACTCCAGGCACACGGTCCGAGTGACAGTTCCCAGCAGACGAGCCTGAGTTGAACGAAGGCTGATAAAAATGTGTCGGTGTCCCCGGGACCCGAGAAACGGACAGAGACACATGGGCTCTGGGAACGGCATCGATCAGAACCCAGACTCCATGTTTCTGCCAAGTTGCGTCTCATTCGGTTGGGGGATCTTTTGCACACGGGATCGGCGTGTCCCCTGCGTGGTGGTTTATGGATTTATTTTTTTTTAGGTTTAACAGTATCCAGGCTTTGTCCGAAACCTCCTTCGCGGGACTGACCAAGTTGGAGCTACTGATGGTTCATGGCAATAACATTCCGAGTATCCCCGACGGGGCGCTGAGAGACCTCAGCTCTCTCCAGGTAAAGCCGGGCATTTAGAAACATTTCTAAAAAAATATGTTTTCTTTATCGATTTTGGAGAGAGAGGAAGGGAGAAGGAGAGAGAAAAACATTGATGAGAGAGAACATCGACGGGCCGCCTCCTGCACGTCCCCGACTGGGGATCAGGCCCACAACTTGGACCTGTGCCCTGACCGGGAATTAAACCGGCGACCTCTCGGTGCAGGGTCAACGCTCAATCACGGAGCCACACCGGCTGGGCTACAAGCATTGTAAACTGCAGCCTCTGGGACCAGCTACGCCTAGAATGCTCTCTAGTGGTTTATACATTAGCCATTTTTTTTTAACATTAAAGACAAGCTTACGAATTTTCTTTCTTTAGTACTGACCGATGTGTTCAGAGTTTCTGTTCCATCCTTGACTCCGTTTTGGAGGCTGGTATTCCTATTGCGGGGTTATTTCTAATACCCACGAGATGGAAGCCTCCTAGGGGTCCACCGACAGGTGAGTTGACCCAGTAAGAGCAGTCCATCAACACTGTGGAATATTACTTGGCCATGAAAAAGGATGGACTCTGACCATTCACGACAGCCTGGGAGGACTTAGCGGGTGTGATGCTCAGTGAAATAAGTCAGGCAGACAAAGACAGATGCCCTGTGATTTCACTCATATGTGGAATCTAATGCACAAAATAAATGGACTCAACAGAAACAGGTTCATAGATGCCGGGCACCGACTTATGGTCTCCGGAGTGGAGGGGGTTGGGAGTTGGGTGAGCAAGGGGAAGGGACTGAGAAGGACAGACGGACAGTTACAGAATAGTCACAGGGTGAAAAGAACAGGAACGATCGTCAGTAACACTGTCATGACCGTGTGTGGGTGCTGGGAATGTCAGATCACCTTGTAAATTATGTATAAATTATGTAAATGTCGAACCACTGTGTTGTACACCTGCAATGGACATCATGATGGCCGTGCACTGTAATTGAAAATAAACATTAAAAGAAAAAAAAAAAGAGCCCTGGCCGGTTTGGTTCAGCGGCTGAGCATCCGCCTGCGGACCCGAGAGTCCCAGGTTCGGTCCCCGCTAGGGGCACGTACCACCACAGAAACAAAACAAACAAAAACAAAACAAAACAAAACTGCCTTGGCCAATTTGGGTCAGTGGATAGTGGGTCCCCCTCAGGACCGAAGCGTTGTGGGTTCAATTGCCCATCAAAGGAACACGGTGGGTTTAAGGTTCGATCCCTGGCCCCAGTCGGGGTGCACGTGGGAGGCAGGTGATGGCTGTGTGTCTCTCTCTCTGTCTCTGTCTCCCCCTCCTTGTCTGTTCCCCTCCTTTCCACTTTCTCTAAAAATCAATGGCAAAAAAATATCCTTGGGGGAGGCTTCCCAACCACCACCTGCAAACAAACAACTCAGTCCAGGTTTATGCCTTCCCTGCCCTTGGTTCTGCTCTTTCGTTCCTGTCTGTGCTTTTCAAAAAGACCCTCAGGACCTGGCCGGTTTGGCTCAGCAGTTAGAGCACCGGCCAGCGGTCCAGAGAGACCCAGGTTCGGTTCTGCTAAGGGCACGGACCTCAGTTGCAGTGTGTCCCCGGCCCTGGTTGGTCGTGCAGGTGGCAGCCACTCGATGTGTCCCTTTCACGTCGATGTTTCTCTCTCTCTCTCTCCCTCCCCCTCTATCTGAACAAAAAACTGGAAAACCGTCCTCGGGGGAGGATAAAGAAACAAAGGACACCCAGGTTTCCCGGCTGTCTTGCAGGTTCTCAAGTGCAGCTACAACAAGGTGCGCGTGCTCACGGCGCACACCCTGCGGGGCCTGGGCAGCCTCCTGCGCCTGCACCTGGACCACAACCAGCTCGAGTTCATCCACCCGCAGGCCTTCCGGGGCCTGACCTCGCTGCGCCTGCTGCACCTGGAGGGCAACCACCTGCAGCTGCTGCACCCCGCCACCTTCGCCACCTTCTCCTTCCTCGACTCCTTCCGACTGTCCAACATCCGGCACCTGTACCTGGCGGAGAACCGGCTGAGCAGCCTCCCGGCGGACCTGCTGCGGAACATGCCGCTGCTGGAGACGCTGTACCTGCAGGGCAACCCCTGGGCCTGCGACTGCGGCCTCCGCGGCCTCCTGCGCTGGGAGGCGCAGGCCCCAGGTAGGACGGACGAGGCCCCGGGTCCTCCGCGCGCGCCGCCGCCCCGGCTGGAGGGGCCGCCTGCTCCAGCCTGCGGAGGGGACTCGGGCTTCTTCATTTGATCACATTTACGGGGGCGCATCGGTTCGCAAAACCGTGCAGGTTGCTGGGCCAAGTCAACCAGACATGATGTGCACGCGGTGTCCTGTTCCTATCGCCCCAGGAAAGGTTCTTCCGCCCACCTCACCCCACCCCCTTTATCTACCCCACCCCCTTTCATACCCCACCCCCTTTTCTCTCCACTGAAGCCTTCCCCCCCCCTTTTCTACCCCACCCCCTTCCCTCTGGCCATCACCATGCTGTTGTCTGTGTCTACATGGTGTGTGTGTGTGTACGTGTGCGCGTGTGTTGGCTTCATCTTTCCCATTTTTCATCCAGCCCCCCACCCCCTCCCCCTGCCCTCAGGGTGTCCCATGCATCCAGCTCCTCTCTCTCCATTTCGTGGGTGCGTTTATTTAGCTTCTGGTAAGGTCGGGTCCCTGATTCTGCAAAGCAGGAAAAGTGTGTGAGAATGGTTATAAGTACAAGGTCAAGACATCCCGGGCCCATGATGTCAATGCATATTTTTCTTTTGTTTTTATCCTCACCCGAGGACATCTTTGCACTTATCCTCAGGTAGAGGGGGAGGGAGAGAGGGAGAGAAACATCGATGTAAAGGGACACATCGAGTGGCTGCCACCCGCACGACCCACCAGGGCCGGGGACAAACTGCAACCGAGGTACATGCCCTTAGCGGGAACCGAACCCGGGATTCTCTGCTTTGCAGGCCGACGCTCTAACCGCTGAGCCAAATGGGCCAGGGTCAATCTTATCCTTTTGAAAATGTGAAACCATGATGTTTAGTCGCTGATGCACAGTGGACGGTGATGATATGGGGAGAGCTCCACCCACCTCGGCTGCCCAGCAGCAATGTGGGGGGCGGGGGGGGCGGCGGTGCCTCTGAGCTCGTGCTCAGCAGTCTCAACCAGACAGCACACACGTCACCTCCATGCCTCCTTCACTGGGGGGAACTATTCCCCAGATGGGAGGTAACGGGGAGGCTGGGAGTCCATCGGCTGAGTCACTTCCCAGCAAACGCACTGCCTGGGACAAGGAAGTGTCCCTGGGCGGAGGGGCAGCTCGGCCCGTCGGGAGGTCCGGATGTGTGTGTGTGTGTGTATCTGCATTGCTGCGTCTGTGTGTGCAAATGTCTCCGTGCGCACCTCAGCGCTGGGTGTCCGCAGAGGTTTGCAACACGACTGCCTTTGCACGTTGACGTGTTTCCTGCGACAGTCACACAGGAGAATGGGTTCAGGGGCGGAAAACGAGATGCCATGGAACTAGTGAGGGTGAGGGTACCCTGGTCCGCTGTGACGGTGGTCGGACGGTGTCTTCCCAGCGGGAACGGAAGGAGGTGGACACAAGACCAGAGGGCAGTGGGGAAGCACTTCTGGCTCCTGAGTCTCCCTTGGGGAGGGACTGCAGCATCCCCGAGTGGTGTAAAAAAAAGTCATCAATCTGGCCGGTGTGGCTCAGGGGTTGAGCGTCGACCCTGCACCAAGAGGTCACCAGTTCGATTCCCGGTCAGGGCACATGCACAGGTTGTGGGCCTGATACCAGTGGGGGGCATGCAGGAGGCGGCCAGTCCATGTTCTCTCTCATATGTGTTTCCATCTCTCTCTCCCTCTCCCTTCCTCTCTCTCTAAACTCAATAAGAAAAAAAAAAAAAAAAGCCTGAGACATCTAGGTTTGGAGCAGGGAGGACACTGGACTTGATTCTGTAGACGGTGATTTGGGGGGGGCTTTGCCACCTCTAAATAGACCCGTAGGAAGCATGCATGTGGGTGAGACCACCTGCAGGGGGCGGGGCAGAAGGAATTGGGGCGCTTGGACCAAGGCAGCGGACACTTCTCCACCCGTGAGTTGGGCAGACAAGGAGGACACAGGGCAGACACGCAGAGCAGTGACCCGGGAAGGGCAACACTGTGAAGGGTGTGACGTCCATTCCACGGATCCAAAAGGTGAACACTGCCTGGAATTTTTTTTAAATTATGCAAAATGATCTGATTCATGCCAAAAGTGGGTCTTTGAACCTGGAGATAATTTCCTGGGTGGCAGTTATTTTATGCCCATTCCCTGGGGTGTTTGCGGACGATAAACGGCATCAGGTGTGTGAGTTGAGTTTTTCACCTCAGCATAGTTTTTCTGGTTGCTGTTTGTTTTTTTAAACAGTATTCATGTCCTGGCCAGTGCGACTCAGTGGTTAGAGTGTTGGGCTCTGCACCGAAAGTCGTGGGTTTGATTCCTGCTCAAGGGCACGTACCTGGGTTGCAGGTTTGATCCCTGGACCTCATCAGGGCAGCCAGTCGATGTGTCTCTCACATGGATGTTTCTCTCTGTCTCTTTTCTCCCTCCCTGCCCCTCTCGAAAAATCAACAATGTCTTCAAGTGAGGATGAACAACAATAATGACGTACTCATTGTCAAATGTATCTAAAATCGTGAGGAGTTACAACAATGTACTCATTATACATTGTCAAGTGTATCTAAAATCATGAGGAGTTACAACAATATACTCATTATTCAGTGTCCAATGTATCTAAAATCGAGTTACAACAATTTACTCATTATTCATTATCCAATGTATCTAAAATCGTGAGGAGTTACAATATACTCATTATACATTGTCAAATGTATCTAAAATCATGAGGAGTTACAACAATGCACTCATTATACATTGTCAAATGTATCCAAAATCGTGAGGAGTTACAACGATATACTCATTATACATTGTCAAGTGTATCTAAAATCGTGAGGAGTTACAACAATATACTCATTATACATCGTCAAATGTATCTAAAATCGAGTTACAACAATATACTCATTATTCATTGTCCAATGTATCTAACATCATGAGGAATCACAACAATATACTCATTATACACTGTCAAGTGTATCTAAAAGCGTGAGGAGTTACAACAATGTTCTCATTATACATCGTCAAATGTATCTAAAATCGAGTTACAACAATATACTCATTATTCATTGTCCAATGTATCTAAAAGCGTGAGGAGTTACAACAATGTTCTCATTATTCAGTGTCAACTGTATCTAGAATCGTGGGGACTCACACCTCGCTGTGCCACACCGATTTGTGGCCGCAGGGGGAGTGAGCCGTGACGTCATCAGGGAAAGGCACGGGGTGGGGACGCCGCAGACGAGCGCGATCCTCCGGCCCCGTGGGAGGCCCGTGCTCAGTCCGCCGACTTACCTCGTGCCCGTTTGCTTCTCTTCCAGGGATCTTGAAGTGCAAGAAGGACAAAGCCTACGAAGGTGGCCAGCTCTGCGCCGTGTGCTCCGGTCCCAAGAAGCTGCAGGGGCAGGAGATTCACAAGCTGCAGGACATTACCTGTCAGAAGCCGTCCATCGAGTCCCCCCTGAGACACAACAGCAGCGAGGACGACCCGGACGCGGAAGACGACGGTGACAGCCCCTGGTCCCTGGCGGCCTTCCCGTCTCCACCCTGGAACATCTCTCTGAACATGACCGATGAGCACGGCAACACGGTGACCTTGGCCTGCGGCATCCAGAAGCCCTCGGAGCTGTACAGAGTCCACCTGAACCAGACGGAGGCTCACGAGGTGGACGTCAACGCCACAGTGGCCTTGGACCTGGACTGCCCGATGACTCGGGAAAACTACGAGAAGCTGTGGAAACTCATCGCCTACTACAGCGAGGTCCCCGTGAGGCTGCACCGGGAGCTGGCGCTCGGCGCCGACGGTGGGGGCGGCTCCCAGTACCGACAGCTCGCCCACGATGACGCCCTGTACTACACGGGCGTCCGGGCCCACGTCCTCGCGGAGCCCGACTGGGTCATGCAGCCGTCCTTCGACCTGCAACTCAACAGACGGCAGAGCACGGCCAAGAAGGTGCGGCTGTCCTACCGGGCTCAGTTCTCCGTGACCGTGGGCAGCAAAGAGGCGGCTCAGTCCCGCAGCCGGAGCTGGGTGATGATCGAGCCGGGCGCGGCCGAGCGCCGAGCCCAGACGGTCTTGGAAGGGGCTCCGTGCCAGCTGAGCTGCAATGTCAAAGCTTCGGAGAGTCCGTCCATATTCTGGGTGCTCCCCGACGGCTCGGTCTTAAAAGCGCCCACGGATGACCAGGATGGCAAGTTCTCCATCCTCACCAGCGGGTGGCTGACCATCAGATACACCGAGCAGTCTGACTCTGGTGTGTACCGGTGCGTGGCTCGGGTGCGGGATGAAACGGACCAAGTGGCGCACAGGGTTTCCGTGCAACCTCTCGCCACTCAGCCCGCGGGTAGACACACAGTGACCGTTGAGAAGAGCCCGGGGGACCCAGTGACCTTGCCTTGCCAGGCCCTGGCCGTCCCGGAAGCCCAGCTCAGCTGGATTCTTCCCAACAAAAGGATCGTCAACGGTTTGGCCAACACATCTCAGGCCTACATGTTGCCCAACGGAACGCTGTTCATCCCCAAGGTCCAAGCCAGCGACGGCGGCTACTACAGATGCGTCGCCGTCAACCAGCAGGGGGCGGACCACTTCACCGTGGGGGTCACCGTGACCAAGAAAGGGTCCGGCAGGTCCTCCAAAAGAGGCCGCCGCCCCGGCGGGAAGACCCTGTCCAGGGTCCGAGGAGACGTGGTGGAGGACGAAGGGGGCTCGGGCCTCGGCGAGGGGGACGCGTCTTCCAGGAGAACCCTGCCTCCGAAAGGTCGGAAGCTGGTCCTCGACACCAAGGACGACGCCAGCCCCAAGAAAGGGCGGAGGAAGCTGAAGCCCTGGAGGAACTCTGAGAAGGAGCCGGAGACCAACGTGGCGGAAGGTCGCAGAGTCTTCGAGTCCAGACGCAGGGTGAGCATGGCCAACAAGCAGATCAACCCAGAACACTGGGCGGATATTCTAGCCAGAGTGCGAGGGAAGAACCTCCCCAAGGGGACGGAAGGACCCGGGGCCATGAGAACCACCACCCCTCCGTCGGCCGGCCGAGACGTCACCCCCGCTGTGCCCGTGGCTTCTCCTCCGTCGGTGTCCCTGGCGCAGACCTCGACCAGCGCTGAGGAGTTCTCCGCCGACGCTGTCTTACCGGGCGAGGACGAGGCGGTCTCCAGGGGGGTTTCCGCCAGCCGGGGGACACCCCAGCACAGCCTGGAGGAAGCCAGAGAGACAAGCACGGATGTGGGAGACGTCACCGATGAGGACTTGTCGGAGAAGACGGAGGATCCAGTTCCGACGGACGCTGACCCCACGAGGGCGGCAGCCACACAGCCGACGTCCCCTGCACCTCATGGACCTGCCGCTCCCCGGATCCTTGACGCCCCCCAAGAGCCGCCCCGGGAAAACCCAGCCACGGAGGACCGGTCTGGGCTCGCGCTTGGGCCTGTTCCGCAGCCACCATCACGTGGCCACGAGTCTCCTCTGGAGACCACCTCCTTGGCCGCGTCTGTCCCTGCACCATCCGTGTACCCGGAACAGGAGACGAACTCAGAACCAGACGCGGAGAAGGTGGAGGAACATCCTTCCAGACACTCGACTCCAACTCCCGCCTGGTCCGTGGTTGACTCCACGACCCCTGAGCCGTTTGGAGATCTCGCGCCCGGGCGGCCCCACGTCCCCGCACGAGGACGTGCAGAGCAGCAAACACGCCGCCCTGAGCCCGGGGGAAACGGTTTCAGCGCCGAAAGCCACGCGCTCCTGGAGAAGGGCGCAGAGGAGGATTCTCTGAAGCGACCGGAAGGAAATGGGCTGGAGAGAGGCCCCAAAAAGTCCCGAAGACCGCAGAGTAAGAATCCAACCCTGGCGCCTGTCACGTGGGGTCTGAGGACCACGGTCACGGCCTTTCCGAGTCCCGGGGAAACCACCCCGGGGTTTTTTCTTGACAGGGGTACGACCCCAGCAAGTACAGTCATGCCCGTTCCAAAGGCCACTCCACCTCCCGAGGCCACCACGCACCGTTCTCGAAAAAGACCCAACGGGAGGCGGCGGTTACGGCCCCACAAATTCCGACAGCGGCACAAACAAGCGCCCCCCGCGACGCTCGCCCCATCGGAGGCTCTTTCTGCTCCCCCGACTCCCGCCGCTGAGGGGAAGACCAGCGCCCACGCGGACGGCTTGCCGGCTCCTACGTCTCGGGTGCAGAGTCGGGTTCCGCTCACACAACAGGTGGAAACGGAGCAGCACGGGGACCCCGTCACCCGGGGAACCCCGCGAAGGAAACACGGGCGGAGACCAAACAGAAACCGTCACAACACCTCCACGGTGTCCTCGACGGCTTCTGCGTCCACGCTCCGTCCTTCTTCCGAAAACAGGCAGAGAGCTGTGATCACTACCCCCGGTCCAGAAACCGTACGGGCGCCCACAACCATTGCTCGGACAACCGGGGACCCCCGGGAGGTGACCAGCGTGGCAGGTGATGCCACAACCACCACAAAAATACCCGTGTCCCCGGACACATCCCAAGAGACAGTTCCAGCCACGGATAAGCCGGGGCCGGATAACAGAGAAACGGAGAATTACGCTGTCACAGACGTCGCGGACCCTAAAACGCACAGCTTAGGGCCTGGTGAGGTGGTCGTCGCTGTCGCCTCACCTTCTGTCCCCGAGGTGTCCCCCGTGGGGGAATTTCAGGAAGACTCCTCTCCTTCTATGTTTCCAGGAACTGAGGCCTGGAATCCCCCAAAGACAGCGCAGCCGGGGAGGCCGCAGACAGACACACCTGTCACCCAGTCTTCAGAAGGCCTTGCGGACTCTGCCCCCTTTTTGGAGGAGTTGGAGGACCTGGAATTCACCTCTCGGGTCCCCACTTCTACGGCGGCCTCCACGCCGTCTCAAGAGGACGAAGTCCTCGCTGCGACGGCTCTCGCAAGCACAGAGCCGCCTTCAGGTGCGGCAGGATCCAGCAGCCGTGGCCAGGACGACCGTGAGACCAGTCCCGCTGTTGTCCGTGCTGAAACGAGACCCCAGCACCAAGTGCCCACTCCCGCCCCAGCGGACGCGGCCACCTCCTCGTCTCCTCGCACGACTCTCGTGCCTTCGGTACCGACCCCCACGGAGCCCGCCCGCGGCGCTTGGCGAGCGTCTCCGGGGCCCACGGAGTCTAAGGAACACGTGTTCTTCAATGCCGTGGGGATCCCAGAAACCCAAACACCCCCCGTGCCGAGGGAGGGGACACGGCAAATGTGGAGAGACAACGAGGTGTCCACCCCCTCTCCCAAAAAGGATGAATTTCACGGGACTCTGAGGCAGGAGTTGGGAAAGGAAGCGCTGGATGAGGGGATGAGAAACAGCCTTCCGCGGGGTCCTGGTGTTCACCCCCAGGACGGGAGACTCCACCTTTTCCAGCAGCCGGCCAGGGTCCCTGCCGCACCTGTCCCACCGAGGGGGACGGCGAGGCCGCCCCCTAGAACCACACACAGCTCGGTCAGACACCTTGGAACCGCCCAGCCCCCTGGCCACCTGACCAATAAGCCAGGAATCACCGCGTACCCGTCGAGGGTGCTGCCAGACAACAGGCACTTGACGACTCCGAAACTCTCAAGTCCGCCAACGCCCGTGGATCCCTGGCGTTTTTCCAGACCCGACACCTTTCCGGACCAGGGAACCGACCGGTTCGGCGGCCACTCCAAAGCGTTTGGAAATAACAACCTCCCCGATTTCAGAGACCCTGGGGCCAAGCTCCCCAACTCAAGACTTCCGCCCTATTTCAACGGCAGATTCCCTTTCTTCGTCAACAGGACCTTCTCCTTCCCGCAGCTGGGAGTCACGAGGCCCCCGACGGCGACCCCCGGCGCCCCAGCGATGAGGGAGAGAAACGTCAACCCAGGTGCGCACAACCGGCTGCCGTCGCAGACCATCACCCACGTGGACTTTGGGCCGCCAGCACCTCCGCTGATGCACCGTCCGCGGACCGTGTCTCCACACTCGACCCACCTACAGAACGTCATTCTCGTGTCCCCGACGCGGAGCTCCTTCCCCTTCACGATGTCCCCGGGCCCTCCGTCCAGGAGCCCCCACGATGGCAGCTCCAACTTCTCCCCCGGAGGACCCCCTGCCCCCAAATTCTGGACGCTTGGCGAGAGGCCCCAGATCATCACCGCGTCGCCTCAGACCGTGTCCGTCACCGCAGAGACCAACGCTGTGCTCCCGTGTGAGGCGACCGGCAAACCCCCGCCGTTCATCACCTGGACCAAGGTGTCCACAGGTAGGGTGTGGGACCAGCGCCTTTCATCCGGGGTTCGGGGAGCGGGACCTCAGGCAGGGCCACAGACTCTGGAGAAGCACGGACTGGGGGGACCGGGGAGGGGACGTCGGACAAGGTAGGTACGCACGTAATCCTCGATGGGGTCGTGCCGTAAGGAACATTCTAGATGGCAACGGAGCCTTGGAAACGCACGGTAGGGTTTTCGGATGCGGAATGATGTAGGTTCAGGGGTATTTCGCGCAGGGGCCCCTTCACGTTTCCCGGGGGTGTCCCAAAGGGAAGTCTCCCCGCGCCCCTGCAGGCTGCGATGTCCGCTCGGGGGGCACGGTGGGCAGACGTCCCTGGTCCTTTGAGTGGCTGGCAGAGGTCAGCACCGCTTGGTGTCAGGTCACCCGGTGTTGCTCTCCTTGGAACAGAGACACGTGGTTGTGTTTGATGTCCGTGGCCACCCCCAAACACCCCAAGTGAGGTGCCTTACACAATACACGTTTGTTTCTCTCCGTCTTGGAGGCTGGACGTCCGAGACCCAGGTGTCTGGTGGCTCCGGAGGCCTCTCTCCTGGGCATGTGGACGGCCGTCTGCGCCGTGTCCTCACGTGGGCGCCCCTGTGTGATCTGTGTCCTCACCTCCTCTTCTTATGAGGACCCCAGTCCTGAGGGGTCAGGGCCACCGCAGGGACCGCATTTTACCTAAATCCCGTCTTCACAGACCCGTCTCCAAAGGCAGTTTCATCCTCAGGCCTTGGAAACCAGGCTTTGGCGTAGAACATTTTGTGGGGACACATTCAGCCCACACGGAGGGGCCCCCCGGGACTGCGTACGCGCACCGAGAACGCGTCCTTCCTGGAGATGCGCCCGGAGAGGCCTGAACGGAGAAGTCATTTCTAGCGGGTGGAAGACAGGGACTTTCAAGAAGCCAAAGGCTGCGGAGAAGGCCCTGCCTGGTCTCCTTTTTCTTTCCTTCTCTCCAGACGTGGCTGCTTCCTGGGGCCTGGATTCGGTCAGAGAGGTTTTTACGTGTTTGTTGGTTGGTTGACGACATCGATGATGCTCACAGCACCTGGGAGGGCCCTGCCCTCCTCACGCACGTTCATGGTTGTAACCCAGGAGAGTCAACCTCACTCGGACACCAAGTAATTTTGTAGATTAGGAGCTTTATGACCTGCGCAGGGACTGCAGCCAACCTACACCGAGGAGACTGCAGCCCCGAGCTCAGGGAGGGTTTGCTTATATAGGACAGGGGGTACTCACGACTTTAGCAGAGCAAGCAAGCTGCGTGCACAGAAGCGGATATCAGCAGTTAGTAGCTGCACACGTTGTTTATTTTATATTTCTTCACATTTACTAGACCCCAGCCTTGAATGTCTCATCGCCCCGTCCGGCATCTCCTGATTAGTTAAGCTCGTGGTCAATAAATACCCTTGTGGTCCTGGCTGACGCATACCTTCCTCTTCAAGCATTTTTGCAAAAACAACTCGGGCTCAGGGAACCCAGGAGAGGTTCCTTCTTCTAGCGGATGGAGAATGACTGGGTTATAACATTCATGTCACCGGTGTTGAGAGGACGCCAAACACGGGGCACTCGGAGTCGCCGAGCGGGGGCACGGCCTTCTGCAATCAGCTCTCCGCGTGGGGCGTCTTTCGTCCCGATCACCGGAGACATTACGGCGTGTTTCCCCTTCAGAAAGGGCGGTGACCCTGAAGGAAGATGCTTCCTTTACGTAGGACTTTCCGTGGAGACTCAGCCCGGATGGAGGGTGTATCCTTGGCATCAGGGAGGTGCCGCCGAGCCGCAGGGTCTTCGGAACCCTGTTACGTTTCCAGCAGCCGTGGACCGGCTGGCTCTGCGGACATCCACACCCTGTCACAGAGGTCACCTTCCACCGGCCGATGCTTCCTAAGCTAGAACCCATTTCCTTTTTTTTAATCCTCACCCAAGGACATTTTTGCATTTATATTGAGATAGAGCAGGAAGGAAGAGGGAGGAAGAGACAGAGAGAAACATCAACGTGAAAGGGACACATCGAGTGGCTGCCACCCGCATGACCCCAACCGGGGCCGGGGACAAACTGCAACCGAGGTCCATGCCCTTAGCGGGAACCGAACCCGGGTCTCTCTGGACCGCAGGCCGACGCTCTAACCGCTGAGCCACACCGGCCAGGGCTGGCTCCCGTTTTGATAAAGCTCTTTCTCACTGTGAGCCCAAGTCAGAGCCCCTCCTGGTCACCCCGTGTTATCGTCTGGGGTCACCACTGTTTCTGTTTCACTGAGATGTTGATGCTGAAGCTACGAAATTCGCTCCTTGGTTGCACCCAGGAGACCCACCCACTGTGATGAGCAGGAGGCATCCAAGCCTCTGCCCTCTCCTCCCAAACTGAGACACAGACACGCCTTCTTGGACGTCAGCATCACAAAGTGCATCTGGCCCGGCCGGTGTGGCTCAGGGGTTGAGCATCGACCCTGCACCAAGAGGTCACCAGTTCGATTCCCGGTCAGGGCGCATGCCCAGGTTGTGGGCCTGATCCCCAGGGGTGGGCGTGCAGGAGGTGGCCCATCGATGTTCTCTCTCATCCATGTCTCTCTCTCTCTCTCTCCCTTCCTCTCTCTAAAATCAATAAATGAAAAATATCTATTTGAAAAAAAAAAGAAAGACAGAATAGTCCACAGAGTAACGCACACCCCGGCAGCCAGCAAAGGCTAACTTAAAATCAGGGTTTTCTATTATCTGGAATTTATTATTACTCAGTTGCGATGAAGCCCACAGGGCGGGGCTGAGTTCTGCAGAAAAAAAAACGGTTGATTCCTCACGATTCTCAGAGGAGGGGACACGCCAGGACACACAGGGTCCCACGGGGACGCCCTCGGGTAGGTCCGGAAGCTGAGGCAGAGGGGAAATGTGGGCAGAAGACTTTAGAGTGGTTTCTGCAGGAAGGGATGCTTGAAGCAGGGGGCCAGGGGCCGGCACCGCCCGGTCTGAATATTGGCTCGGGAGCACAGAGGCCTGTAAACCAGAGAAAGTACCGTCGAGATGGGGAGGAAAGAGGAAGAGGTGTCTCTCGACGATCGTGCAGGGGACCTGAGAAGTCACCCGGGGTCGTCACGTGATGCTCAGCTGACCCAGACAGAGCAGAGAACGGTCAGCTTCGTCGGGCCTCGTCGGACTCAGGACCCTGGCGGGGCAGACAGGGGCGTCCTGGGGGCCAGACGGGGAGCTCAGAAGGAGGCAGGCATGCAGACGAGGCAGGGCTGAGCCCATGGGACGTGTCTGCAGGGGCTGCCATGAACCCAGGGGCCCCCTTGGCAGGGCCTGGGTCTCAGGGCGGCTTCTGATTCCTCTGTGAAATCCACGCGGGCTGCCCCAGTTCTGGGCCTGGTGTAAGTGCCCAGACAGGGACCCAAGCATCCTCTCTGCCGGGTCGGTACTGGAGCTGGGAGGCGCTCGGCGTTTGCCGTTTCCGACACGGACGTCACTGTGGATGAACTACCCTGTTGGGTGTTCCTTGCAAAGCTGTGGTTTTGTGGCCCCTGACTGCGCCTGTGTTTGACTTGCAGGAGCCCTCCTGACGCCGAACACGAGAGTCCAGCGCTTCGAAGTCCTCAAGAACGGCACCTTCGTCATCCGGAAGGTCCAGGTGCAGGACCGCGGGCAGTACATGTGCACGGCCAAGAACTTGCACGGGGTGGACAGGATGGTGGTCACGCTGTCCGTGTCGGTCCAGCAGCCCCAGATCCTCGCCTCGCACTACCAGGACGTCACCGTCTACCTGGGGGACACCATTGCCATGGAGTGTCTGGCCAAGGGGACCCCGGCTCCCCAGATCTCCTGGATCTTCCCCGACAGGAGCGTGTGGCAGACCGTGTCCCCCGTGGAAGGCAGAGTCACGCTGCATGAGAACCGCACCCTGTCCATCAAGGAGGCGTCGTTCGCCGACAGGGGCGTTTACAACTGCGTGGCCAGCAACGCGGCGGGCGCCGACAGCCTCGCCATCCGTCTGCACGTGGCGGCCCTGCCCCCCGTCATCCACCAGGAGAAGGTGGAGAACATCTCGCTGCCCCCCGGACTCAGCATCCACATCCACTGCACCGCCAAGGCTGCGCCCCTGCCCAGCGTGCGCTGGGTGCTCTGGGACGGGACCCAGATCCGCCCGTCCCAGTTCATCAACGGGAACCTGTTCGTCTTCCCCAACGGGACGCTTTACATCCGCAACCTGGCGCCCAAAGACAGCGGGCGATACGAGTGCGTGGCCGCCAACGTGGTGGGCTCGGCGCGTAGGACGGTGCAGCTGACCGTGCGGCGTGCGGCCGCCAACGCGCGCATCACCGGCACCTCGCCGCAGAGGACCAACGTGCACTACGGGGGGACCCTCCGGCTGGACTGCAGCGCCTCCGGGGACCCCTGGCCGCGCATCCTCTGGAGACTGCCCTCCAAACAGATGATCGACGCGCTCTTCAGGTACGTGCGTCCCTGGCTCGCCACGCGCCCTGCGCTCCTGCGCCCGCCTCCCCTTCCAGCTCCGGAGACGGTGCAGGGACCCTCCTCCTGGCGTGTCCTTGGGCACCAGGAAGGTCCCTGCTCCCTGTGCGCGCTGATGGGGCGGGGGTGGGGACGTTTGTTTTTCACACAGTGAAATCTGGTCTTTATAACCTACAATCCCTGCTTTGCTGCCCGCAGGCCAAACGAACCCAATGGCTTTTGTCTTAAGGACTAGGGTTTTAATGGCATTTTTAAAATGTTAATATTAGATGCCCCACCGGTGTGGCTCAGTGGTTGAGCATCGACCCTGCACCAAGAGGTCCCGGTTCGATTTCCAGTCAGGGCACATGCCCAGGGTGTGGGCCCATCCCCAGTGGGGGGTGTGCAGGAGGCGGCCCATCCATGATCTTTCTCATCCATGTTTCTCTCTCTCTCTCTCTCTCTTCCTCTCTCTCTAAAATCAATACAGAAAAAAAAAACACCACATTTTTTAAAAGTTCCTATTAGACAAGGCAGTGTATTTCCATCTGAAATTTCTACAAAATGCACCAAAGCTTCAGATCTCGGTTTTAAACGGCGTGAATGTGAGGACGTAAAACCAAATGTTCACGGAGAGACATTTTTGTAGTCTCTGTTGCTTTTCTATTCATTTTAAATTTTTTCTATTGCAGTGGACATTGAGTTTGGTATTCGCTTCGGGTGTATGACCTGGTACGGACATTTATAGACCTTAGGAAGGGATCCCCTTGCGTGGCCCCATCCACAGTTAGTATCATATTGCTGGCTATACTTACATGCCGTGACTCTTCTGTAACTGCCCATCTGTCTCCTCCAGCCTTTCCTCTAAAGCTGGGGTGGGAACATCTGGCCCGAGGACCACACAAGACCCATGAAATCAACACCAGCTCCCATCACGGCCTCACCCAAGGAGCCTGACCAAACCAGCAGGCTAATTTTAGGTTGATAAGTTCCCCGGGCCCCCAAGGCTGCTATAAATCTCCACATGGCCCTTGGCAGACAGAGGGCCGGAGGCAGGAACATGGAGGAGACCAGGCCGGCTCGGCTGGGATTCGGAGACGCCAGTTCAGTCGGAAAGAAAGACGATTCTGTCTCCGTCTTTGACTCCCAGACGCAGGGCTCTGGATCCTGCGTTTTCAAACCAGGAGCAGTTTTACCCCAGGGGACACAGGGCAGCGTGGGAATATGTTTTGGGGGGATGTGACTCAGGGAATGGAGGAGCTCCTACAACTGGGGGGTGGAGACCAGGGAGGCTGCGAAACACCCTACAGCGCTCAGGACGCCCCCATCCGAGAGTCACCAGTACTGAGGCTGGAAATCCCTGTTTTAGCACCGAGTCTCGGCATCTATCAACTTAATCTGTTTATCTAGCTATAATCTATCTATCATATCTATCACTTATTTATCTATTTCTTTCATCTATCTGCTATCATCTATCTGTCTATCTCTCTATTAGTCATTTATAATTTATCATCTAATATTTATCTATCTTTAGTCTACCTGTAATCTAGCTATCATTTGAGAATCTAGCTATCCTTTTGTCTATCATCTATCTATCTATTGATCTACCTATCATGTAACTATTATCTATCATCTATCTATCTATCCTTCTGTCTATCTACTTACCTACCTACCTACCAACCTGTCTAACATTTATATCTATCATTTATTATTTATCTATCTGTTTATTATCTATCAGTCTACCTATTTGTGTATCAATCTATCTATCATCTGTTATCTATCTGTCTTTTCACCTATCACCTATCTATCTATCATGTATTGTCTGTCTGTTTACCTATCTATCTACCTATTTATCAATCATCTATCTATTAACTATCTATTCATCTATCTATCATCTATCTATTGTCTATCTACCTGCCTATCAATCATCTATTTATTATCTATTATCTATTTATCTATTTATCATCTATCTATTGCCTCTCTATCTACCTATGAATCATCTATCATCTATTATCTATCTATCTATCTACCTCTCTATCAATCACCTATCATCTATCAATCTATCTATCTATTTATCTATCTATCATCTATCTATCTATTGTCTATCTATCTACCTATTTATCAATCATCTATCATCTATCTATTTTCTATCTACCTACCTATCAATCATCTATCTATCTATTTATCTACCTACCTCTCTATCAATCACCTATCTATCATCTATCTATCTATCTATCTATCTATTGTCTATCTACCTATCAATCATCTATCATCTATATATTATGTATCTATCTATCATTTATCTGTCTATCTATGTATCTATCATATATCTATCAATCATCTATCTATAATCTATTATCTATCTATCTATCATATATCTATCAATCATCTATCTATAATCTATCATCTATTATCTATCTATCTATCTATCTATCTATCTATCTATCTAATTATCTATCTATCTATCCATCTATCTACCTACCTATCTATATATGACAGTAGTTCCCACCTAAACAGTTGTATCCCCAGGGGACGCCCATCATTGCCTGGACACAGTCTTCCTTGGTACAACTTGGGGGTAGGACGTGATCCTGCCTCAGGGGTGAAGACCAGAGATGCTGATCAGCACCCTGCTGTTCACAGGACACCCCACCCCTGAGCCTGCTCCAGCCCCAAATCCCAAAACAGCCTGTGTCTCCATCATAAGTCTTGCAAGATACAGAGGAGGGAGGAGAGGGTTGGCGACATGGAATCAAGGGGGGGCCAGCGGTGGCCTGGTGGACAAACCCTGACCTCTGCTGCCGCCTCCGCCCCGCGTCCCCACAGCTGCGGCGGGAGGGGCTCCGCGTGGGCTCCTCCCGGGACGTGAGCCCGGCGGGCGCCCACGGCTTTGCACCGCTGCGTCCCTGGGCCCTTCAGTGCAGGGCCAGCCGACCGGCTCCGTCCTCCTGCGCGTTAACACTAGAAGGCTGGGCGGTGCCTCCTGAACCTCCCGGAGCGAGTTCCGAGCACCCCCTACCCATTTCCCCCGAGAACCGTGCACCCGAGCACAGGCGGAGAGAGACCTGGCCGACCGGGGATGGACCCTGAACCGGGTCATTCAGGACGCCCTTGAAGCTTCCCCTACCATCGGCCCAGAAGTCATGCATCCGTGCCCCGTTATCACTGCATTCCCACTACTGATCTCCCTCAAACATCGAGCATGCGTTTTATAAAAGAGCAGGATCCAGGCGCATTAGAAGCGTAAACATCAGAAGAGCTGGGCGTGGGCGTGGGCGCGGGCGGCTCTGAACTCCTCCGCGGACTCTGACTGCGACCAGGGCCAGGAACCAAAGGTGTACAAGTTCTCATGTACTTACAGACCGGCCAGGGTACACATCTTTTTTTAATCCTCCCCAGAGGACATTTTTCCATTTTTTTGTTCAGATAGAGCAGGAGGGAGAGAGAGACAGAGAGAGAAACATCGATGTGAAGGGACACATCGAGTGGCTGCCACCTGCACGACCAACCAGGGCCGGGGACAAACTGCAACCGAGGTCCGTGCCCTTAGCGGGAACCGAACCCGGGTCTCTCCGGACCGCAGGCCGACGCTCTAACCGCTGAGCCAAACCAGCCAGGGCTACACATCTTGTTATTCCAACTCCAACACATATTCCACGGTCTTCACGCTCTGATCTTACCAGAGGATGTGAGTGTGATTCTCACTCAAGGCCAACGACAGGGTTTATTTAATCATTGTTACCAGTTGCTTTGATGAACAACCATGATCAAGTTGAATTCAGTCCTTGGAAGGTTTTTATTTATTTTTTTTTAAAGTATATACCATACTTGCGTGGCCGGTGTGGCTCAGGGGCTGAACGTGGACCCTGCACCAAGAGGTCGCCTGTTCGATTCCTGATCAGAGCACATGCCCAGGTTGTGGGCCCATCCCCAGTGGGGGGCGTGCAGGAGGCGGCCCCTCGATGTTCTCTCTCATCCATGTTTCTCTCTCTCTCCCTCTCCCTTCCTCTCTCTAACATCACCCAAGGACATTTGGAAAAAAAGGAAAAAAAAATTTTTTTAAATATGTACAACAAACTTCCGTACTTAAAAGAACGCACTGTTCAAAAATATTGGGGGATTCAATTCAAGTCTCAGAGCTACAGCGTTATAACTTATGTGTTACTGGGATTTTCCAAGCTACACACTTTAGAAGTAAGAACTTCTATTATCAAAAATACTGGTTCGGAATCACTTGATGACAGAGAAGTCCGTACAAACATGTTCAGCCTATGAAAGATCTTTCCATCATGTATTTTTTTCATGTTGCCCTTTAAAATGAAAGTGCTTTTATATATCCACTCCAGGTGTGTGAGCTTGGGTTCAAGTTTTCCCATTTCAGGGGGACATGGACCCCGCATGGGGGTGTCAACTACTGAGAGTCACTCAGCTTTGGTTTCAGAGTCTAGGAGAGAAGACAGGACCGGTATCACCAGGTTCTCCAGAATTCGATTTTAGCATTGACATTCTGGGCGTAATGTCGATTACGTCATCCCTAGTATAGGACGGCTGTAAGTTGGAAAAATATCGGATGGATATATGTAGCCATATATTGCCTGATAATGGGTTACAATATCAAAAAATAAATAAAATAAATAAATCACCAAGAGGAAACACTGTGTCTAAAGCATTATTTCCCCCCAAGGAGAACTTTATCTCTTTATGATGAAAACTTACATTCATTCTCGCTACAATGATAACATTTTAACGGATTCGATGATTAAAATGAAGTCTGCATCAACTCCAGGCACACGCTTGACGGGCTCATCCCCACACAAATAGGGCCTCAGACTTTGAACATATTTCACATTCTTTTCTTTCTTTTTTAAAAAACTTTTTTTTAATTGATTTTAAAGAGAGAACAAGGGAGAGAGAGAGAGAGAGAAACATGGATGAGAGAGAACATGGACTGGCCGCCTCCTGCACGCCCCCCACTGGGGATCAGGCCCACAACCTGGCGTGTGCCCTGACCAGGATTCGAACCAGCGACCTCTTGGTGCAGGATCGATGCTCAACCCCTGAGCCTCACCGGTGGGACCACATTTCACATTCTGGAATCAGTAGTCCGTGTTCTTGGGCGTTCTTGTTTACAGTAAATAAATAATTTCCATATTGGCTGTAGTCCCCTCCACTCCTCAAACAACCAACTCCGTGTGTGGCTGTTGTTACTCCTCAGCTGAGGATATTTTTTCATCCATTTTTGGAGAGAGTGTCAGGGATGGAGGGAGAGAGAAAGGTCGATGGGAGAGAGTCGTATTGATTGGTTGTGTTGTGTATGAGCCCCGTCCAGGGGCAGCGATTGAACCTGCAACCCAGGTACGTGCCTGTGAGGGCGAGTCGAACCCGTGACCCTTCAGTATTCGGCTGACACTCTCCCCTGGACCACATCGGCCAGGGCAAACCATCCTACATTTTGCAGGAGGGCGTTGTGTGTGGATAGTCTGACACTCACCTGCCCTGTCTCATTCTGGGGACCCAGAAGCCGATGTCGCTTTGCGAACACTGACTACTTCTGTCTCTTTTCTGCCTCAGCTTCGACACCAGGGTCAAGGTGTTTGCCAACGGCACCCTGGTGGTGAAATCCGTCACGGACAAGGACGCGGGCGATTACCTGTGCGTGGCCCGCAACAAGGTGGGGGACGACTTCGTGGTGCTCAAGGTCAACGTGGTGATGAAACCGGCCAAGATCCAGCACAAGGAAGACAGCGACCACCGCGTCTTCTACGGCGGGGACCTCAAGGTGGACTGTGTGGCATCGGGGCTCCCCAGCCCCGAGATCTCCTGGAGCCTCCCCGACGGCAGCCTGGTGCACTCCTTCATGCAGTCGGACGACAGCGGGGGGCGCACCAAGCGCTTCGTCCTGTTCCACAACGGCACCCTGTACCTCAACGAGGTGGGCATGCGCGAGGAAGGGGAGTACACCTGCTTCGCCGAGAACCAGGTGGGCAAGGACGAGATGACCGTGCGCGTCAAGGTGGTGGCCGAGCCCGCCGTCATCCGCAACAAGACGTTCTCCGTGGTGCAGGTGCCCTACGGGGACGTGGTCACCGTGGCCTGTGAGGCGAAAGGCGAGCCCACGCCGCGCGTGACGTGGCTCTCGCCAACCAACCGGCTCATCCCCACGTCGTCGGAGAAGTACCAGATCTACCAGGACGGGACCCTCCTGATCCAGAAGGCGCAGCGCTCCGACAGCGGCAACTACACCTGCGTGGTGCGCAACAGCGCGGGGGAGGACCGGAAAGCCGTGTGGATCCGCGTCGACGTGCAGTCGCCCACGATCAACGGGAACCCCAACGCCATCACCACGGTGCGCGAGATCGCCGCGGGCGGGAGCCGGAAGCTCATCGACTGCCAGGCCCGGGGCGTCCCCACCCCGAAGGTGTTGTGGGCTTTTCCCGAGGGCGTGGTGCTGCCCGCCCCGTACTACGGGAACCGGGTCACCATCCACCGCAACGGCACGCTGGACATCAAGAGCCTCCGCAAGAGCGACTCGGTGCAGCTGACGTGCATCGGGCGCAACGAAGGCGGCGAGGCCCGGCTCATCGTGCAGCTGACGGTCCTGGAGGCGATGGAGAAGCCGGTGTTCCACGACCCGGTCAGCGACAAGATCACGGCCATGGCGGGCCACACCATCAGCCTCAACTGCTCCGCCGCGGGGACCCCGACGCCCACGCTCGTGTGGGTCCTGCCCAACGGCACGGAGCTCCAGAGCGGCCGGCAGCTGCAGAGATTCTTCCACAAGGGCGACGGGATGCTGCACATCAGCGGCCTGTCCTCCGCCGACGCGGGCGCGTACCGCTGCGTGGCGCGCAACGCCGCCGGCCACACGGAGCGCCTGGTGTCCCTGAAGGTGGGGCTGAAGGCCGAGACGCACAAGCAGTACCACAACCTGGTGAGCATCATCAACGGGGAGACGCTGCACCTGCCCTGCCTGCCCCCCGCGGGCCGCCCAGCTCGCTTCTCCTGGACGCTCCCCAACGGCCTGGCTCTGCAGGGCCCCCAGACGCGGGGGCGCTTCTCGCTGTGGGACAACGGCACCCTCACCGTGCGCGAGGCGTCCGTGTTCGACAGGGGGACCTACGTGTGCAAGACGGACAGCGCGCACGGGCCCTCGGTGGTGAGCGTGCCTGTGATTGTCATCGCCTACCCTCCCCGAATCACCAGCGAGCCCACGCCGGTCATTTACACGCGCCCCGGCAACACCGTGAAGATGAGCTGCATGGCCATGGGCATCCCCAAAGCCGAGATCACCTGGGAGCTGCCGGACAAATCGCACCTGAAGGCGGGCTCGCAGGCCCGGCTGTACGGGAACCGGTTCCTCCACCCACAGGGAGCGCTGACCATCCAGCACACCACGCAGAGGGACGCGGGTTTCTACAAGTGCACGGCCAAGAACATCCTGGGCAGCGACTCCAAGACCACGTACATCCACGTGTACTGAGCAGCACCGGAGAGCGTGGGCCGCGGTCCCGCGAGGAACTGAGGACCGAGCCTCCCTCGGGGCCACGCCCTCGGGTGGGGTCATCCTTCTGAAAGCTTGGGCGCGGGCACAGTGGCCCCCGCGCGGGGTTGAGGTCCAGGTTCACTCTGACCTGTGCTTGTTGGCAAAAGCGAGCAACCCAGACAGGGAAGGAGGGCTCAGCCTGTGGGGACCGTATCCAGTGTTCACAGGACGGCCGGTGCCCTTGCTGGCCTTTCTCGGGACCTGGGTGACCACTGCAACGCCTGCTTCCCAAATGCGCCTTTTCGGGCGCTCTGAGGGCGTCTGCGGGGCTTCTACGCAGCGGTTTCTGAAAACACCGTGAGGATGAACAGCATCTGGTTACCCCGTCTAGCTAACCCGCCGCGATTTCATGCCAGAACATCCTAGAGTCTGTGCCCATCTTTCTGTCTGTGATTTCCAAACTCCGCCCTGCCCAGTAAGAGCTTAGAGCCAGAGTGATGAGAGAGAGAAAAAAAATATATATATTTTTTAATAAATATATATGTTTTCTCCAACACTGATACCACTGTCCATGAAAGAACTCTTTCTCCCCGGAACTCACTTTTTATATAAATATATACATATATTTTTTTTTCTTTCTAATTAGACGATGAGGCTCGAAAGAGAAAGACACGCTTTCTGTCTCATTAAAAGGGATAAATTATTGGTCTTTACAAGACTTGCTTCCATTAGAGCAGGACGTGGAAATGCACATACGAAATTCTCCTCCGAGTTCCCTCCGACTGGGACACCGTTACTGTGGGATTTTCAGGGAGCCCCGTGGGGAGAGGCAGAGATAGTGGGTGTCCTAGTTTACGAGGTTGATCTTAAGGCCTCTAGGAGGGGGTTGGGGAGCTAAGACAAGACCCCGCAGAACAATCCCAGACACCCCCAGAAAAGGCACCAAGTTTTGTCCCCCAGGAACGTGTGCCCAGAGACGCGACATGCCCTGACATTTCCATGACTTCTTTACTGTATTTTTAAGATCAACACAATGTACATGGGATAATAAAATGATATTTTCCAAAACGGCGAGCGATGGCCACAGTGATGTGTTCGGGGACATGGGTGCTCCCCGAGAATGTGGGCTGACGTCACAGAGGGGGGAAAACGGGTTCCATCCGTGCCATCTGAACCACGCGGTTCTCTGCAAGTGTTTAACAGGCAAGGGACACTCGTCCAAGCTGGGCCTCCGCCACCTGTTCGATAGACCAGAAGACAGGGTGCGGCCCCTCGGCCCCCCTTGGTGCCAGGATGTGGAAATGTGCCATCGGCATCTTTCAGGAAATTCTCTAGAGGAGAGAGACGTCTAGGGACTGTGAACGGGCATTCCTTGAACAGGGAACACTGTCTTTCTCTGGCTCCCTTCAAAGCAGGACAAAATATGCAATCCAAGATGAAATGTCAGGGAACAATGTGGCTGTCGTGGCTGAGATGGAGAACATGAGCTCTGGAAACAAAAGTGGGCTTGACCTTTCTCAAGGTTGTGGGGAGCACAGGATGGCCATCACTCAGTGACCATTTATTTGCATATGTCTATCTGCATGGCCCCCGCTGTGGGCCAGGTTCCGGGACAGGCTCTGGGAATACCCGGGTGCATAGGAAACATGTCACGCTGGAGCAGTTCATGCTCTGTGAACTAGGCCTTCAGCTGTGTTTCTCAGCCTTAACACAGTGACATCTGGGACTGGATTGTTCCCTGTGGTGAAGACTGTTTTGTGCACTGTGGGGTGTTGAGCTGTGTCCTTAGGGAACACCTACCAGATGCCAGCAGCACCCTCCACCAAAAGTGGCTACACATGTTGTCATATGTACCTGTTTGGGGGGTGCAGAATCACTCCTAGTTCGGAAGCACTACCATAGATGATAGAGAGCGGGATGGATGGATGGATGGATGGATGTATTATATATATATATATATATATATATATATGTATATATGGATGGATGGATGGAAAGATGGATGGATGGATGGATGGATGGATGGATGATATATGTATATATGGATGGATGGATGGATGGATGGATGGCAAGATGGATGGATGGATGGATGGATGGATGGATGGATGGATGGATGGATGGATGGATGGATGGATGGATGGCAAGATGGATGGATGGATGGATGGATGGATGGATGGATGGATGGATGGAAAGATGGAAGGATGGATGGATGGATGGATGGATGGATGGATGGATGGATGGCAAGATGGATGGATGGATGGATGGATGGATGGATGGATGGAAAGATGGAAGGATGGATGGATGGATGGATGGATGGATGGATGGATGGATGATATATGTATATATGGATGGATGGATGGAAAGATGGATGGATGGATGGATGGATGGATGGATGGAAAGATGGAAGGATGGATGGATGGATGGATGGGCCAGCAGAGGGAGAGATGAATGAATGACAGGATGTATGTATGTATGTATGTATTATATATGTATATATGGATGAATGGATGGATGGATGGATAGATGGAAAGATGGAAGGATGGATGGATGGATGGATGGATGGATGGAAAGATGGATGGATGGATGGATGGATGGGCCAGCAGAGGGAGAGCTGAATGAATGACAGGATGGATGGATGGATGGATGGATGGATGGATGGATGGATTGATGGATGGGCCAGCAGAGGGAGAGATGAATGAATGACAGGATGGATGGATGGATGGATGGATGGATGGATGGATGGATGGATGGATGGATTGATGGATGGGCCAGCAGAGGGAGAGATGAATGAATGACAGGATGGATGGATGGATGGATGGATGGATGGATGGATGGATGGATGGGCCAGCAGAGGGAGAGATGAATGAATGACAGGATGGATGGATGGATGGATGGATGGATGGATGGATGGATGGATGGATGGAAAGGTGGAAGGATGGATGGATGGATGGATGGATGGATGGATGGATGGATGGATAGATGGATGAATGGAAGGAAGTCACCCTGGCAGTCACCCTGCTCAACAGTTGGAGCATCAACCTACAGACCTAAGGGTCTTGGGTTCGATTCCTAGTCAAGGGCATGTGCTTGAGTTGCAGGTTCAATCCCTGGTTGTCCTGTGCACTGTAGGGTGTTGAGCAGACTTTCTGTTCTCCACCCTCTACATGCCAGTAGCACCCCTCCTCCACAGTGGTGACAGCCAAGAAGGTCTGCAGACATGGCCCAGTGCCCCGGGGCACAGAGCGCTGCCTGAATCGAAATCCCCGTGACAGACAAACTAACGCAGGAAGGAATTTCAGAAACATACGGATCTGGGCTGCCCACCTCAGTGTATGGATGCAAAGGGAGACCCACAAAGGTAAGGCCATGTAAGGACATGCAGATCCATCTCTGCTTACAGACACCTTAGTACAACATTACCTGGAAGAACGTTATAACCCTCCCCACACACACTTTCATTCTGGGTGCGTATAAGGTTATAGACTGGTGATGAGCTTCTGTGGGTGGACTCGACATGCATTCTTGAGGCCTGGTCTTGCCGGGCTGTAGGGAAGACAGGATGAAAGAGCCATCTTCTCACAGGACGTTTACCGAGCGTACAATCAGGTCAACACAAGACAGAGAAATTCAGAGCATTGAAGTTGGTTCACAGCCGTTCAAGATGCAGGGGACTGAAAGGCTACCTTGGATGGAAGCGTCATGGACATGTTTATGGCTGACAAAACATTTTTATGGGCTAGGAAGGGAGAGAGGGATCGCTCCCCAAGCAAAAACATTGTGAAGAAAGTTACAGACTCACGCGATGAGACCTGGTGTCTAGGGACAGATGAAAACTGGTAAGTGTATGTGGACTGCCTTCTAGAAAGTGTTCCCTTGTTTATTGAAAGTGATAAGATATTGGAGCTGGCTGAATGATGTCTTGCAAAAAAATGTATGTCCACCTTGAACCTCAGAACGGGACTTTATCTGGAAACAGGGTCTCTGCAGACGGGGTCCGTGAAGGGCCTGAGCGGAGGCCGTCCTGGGTCAGGGGGGCCTCCGTCCAATGACAGGTCCTTGGAAGAGACAGAAGAGGAGACACAGACACAGAGAAGAAGCCCCGTGGGGACGGAGGAGAGATGGGAGGGACGGGCCCCCCGCCCAGGGACGCCTGGAGCCCAGGAGCCGGAAGAGGCCGGAAGGACCCTCCTGGAGCCTCGGAGGGAGCGCGGCCCTGGACACTTGGGTCTCTGACATCTGGTCTCCAGGGTGGGGGAGGGTGAACATTTGTGATTTAAGTTCCCATTTTGGGGTAATTAGTTATAGCAGCCCTGAGCAACTAATCCAAATATTAAAATTTTCCCACTAGAGACAGTCATGATGAGAAGTAATTTCTGACTGTCTTCCAGGAGGGGATATTTCAGCTTCTTAACCCAGAGTAGGGACCTCTGTGATCTGAGACCATTCATTAGGATCACAGATGGTTCTAGTACTCTTTATCAATAACATGGTAACTAAAAAGAGTTTCTACCCCTCCCCCGCCCCTCCTCCACTGCCCAACTGTTTGCCCCTGGTATGCCTGCCCCTCAGTGTGCGCATAAGCAAAGTCCTAAACTAGCAGTGTTGCCAGGTCCTCACAGCCAAACGAACCTCCAAACAGGCTGCTCCCTTTTAGACTTGGCTTCTAATTGCAAACACAGGGCATGGGGGGGAAAATGTGCTGGCTGCTACACCTGGTGAATGATGTCTCCAATCTTCTAGGACATTGAAAAGGAGGAGGCAGAACCCCAGGGAGATTTATCTGAGTTTTTTTTGTTTTGTTTTGTTTGTTTTGTTTTATCTTCTAAGATCAATCTCTACGTGAGTAGTGTGGTGAGTTCGAGGAGGCCGGCAGGACCCAAGAGTAGGAGGAGGAGGGGGAAGATCACAGTCATTTTAACACCACCCTGAGTACCTGGCTGTTTAGCCTTCTTCTTAACAAAGTCTTTTTTAAGTGTAGCTTGTTACCACGGCATCCAATGGTTTTTTTTTCTTGGCTTCAGGTGGTGATCACTTGGGGAGATGAAAAATTCCTCCTGTCTAGGTGTGTTTACTTCCCAGGCTGCCACAGATAGTGACCACAAACTGAGTTGCTTAGAACAATAGAAATTCATACTCTTTTAGTCCTGAGGCCAGATGTTTGAGATCAAGGTGCCCAGGGCCGTGCTCCCTCCGAGG